ACAGTAATGCCCCGCTTTACTTCATCAGCATTTCCCGCGCTACTGCACAGCCAACCACATGCTTAACCATAGCCGAAGGCGCTACTTGTCTGTCCATCTCACTTCTGGACTTCTCTACCGCTAACACCGTGTGTTCGCCGCAGGCTTTGCTGTCGACGCAAATGCTGCTCATTGTACCAGATTATGAGTGTAAACCGAGTATCACTGCCCTCTAGCTCCCGCTCCTGTGCACTTCTGAGCGGAGAAAGTAGCAGCAGATCCGTTCACTCCCACACAGCAAGAATCATTACCCAGTTTGATGGAAGTCCAGTTTGTCTTTTCCAAAAGTCATGATCGAGACGAACATCGAACCAAAAACAGTATCGCAACTTAGTGAACACTAACATCGCCATCCTTTCAAAACCATTTCCATTCAAAGGTTGCTCCTGAGAATTTCAAAGTGTGCAGACAAGCAGCGCGAAAGCTATTATTCAGCGCCAAGAAATTCAATATTTTCTGGAGTGAGAAGCATTGCTCATTCGTTTTTAGTGTCGGAGACGAACACTGTGCCCAGAGCGCTAACTTTCAAGAGCAATCACTTCTGTCAAACAGACATATGGCGTCGGTTGCCTCAAGATCGTGTAGCAGAAAATAACATTCTCAGGTAGGGTTCTCTTCTCTACAAACGCCTCAGGCGGCCTCAATGTAGCAAAAAATTCCTGGATTCAACTGCACGAATCCTAAGGCAGGTGCATTATCACCCGGAAATCGTCCATAGTATGAAGTGCTCACGTCCAGTTGACGTTAATCGTGCCGCTCTCGCAACGCGAAAGGGCGCGGGCAATGACCTGGGAAGTATTAGGTTGTCCGGAAAGTTCTCAGCGTTTTGTGCACCTATTTTTTGTACATTCACTGCTGATTAAAAACTCATTCTGCCTTGCTTCTCAGTAGCACATCCTGTAGAGAATTTCTATCTGATGGTGTAGTAATCGCCGTTTAACCATTGTTTGATGAACCCCCTTTTTTCAAGATTTTTTCAAGCATGCGAAAAGAACACTTCGGACGATTTTTTTTCTTCGACTATAAATTGGGGCAATCCGCAATCGAAACAGCTCAACAAATTAACCAGGTGTGGGGCCCAATAGTGCTAGAGAAAGCACTGTGCGGCAATGGCTCAACAAATTTCGTTCTGGAGATTTCAGCCTTGAAGATGAACCTCATAGCGGTCGACCTAAAGCAATATCTGACGAGGATTTTAGGGGGATTTTGGAGGCTGACCCATCCCAAACAGTTCGAGAGATAGCAGAAGAGCTAGGCCTTGGCAAATCTGTTGCAGATGGTCTGGAACGCATTGGGAAGGTGAAAAAACTCGACAATTGGGTGCCCCACAATCGGAGTGACCGGCAGGAATCGGCACGTCTCGAGGTTCCTTCTGCATTGCTTTTGCGCAGCAGAAACGACCTGTTTTTGGGCCGAATTGTCACCTGTGATGAAAAATGGGTCATGTATGATAACAGGGAGACGTTCCGGACAGTGGTTGGATTTCCGATGGAAAAGAAAAACCGAGGTAATTTTCAAAGCCGAACCCTCACGAAAAAAGATTCTGGTCACGGCTTGGTGGTCATCGGCTGGTGTGATCCACTATAACTTTTTATCACCAGGCCAAACCATCACAGCAGAACCCTACTGTGAAGAAATCGACGAATTGTACCGAAAATTTTGTCAGATGCAGCCAACACTTATCAAAAGAAAGGGTCCGATTCTTTTGCATGACAACGCCCGCCCACACGTTTCACAAATCACTATCCATAAATTGAACGAAACCACCCAGTTTTTTACTTTAATGGGATTTCTCGACTGCTGTCACATTGACAAAAGTCTGCCTGATTCGAATGGTGCCTATCTTCGATTAAATCCGATGAGTATTAAAAAAGTTACGATCGTTCAATGAAAACCCAAAACGCTGAGAACTTTCCGGACAACCCAGTAAATAAAAAATGAGCCCAGGGACCCAGCCTTTCTGTAATTCTGTGGTTTGGCGCAGGGTAAGGTCGGCAAGAATGCTTGATGCTTTTCACCTACATACGTTGCAAATGTTGTCACTCCAACAGCTCCAATGATCGGCACCTGCAACTTTTTTTTTTTCAATCTTTCCACAAACGTGTCTCACTTTGCAACATTTAAGTAAATTTCTTCAAACACCTGTGTACTTGGCTGAGCCTGACGAGATAACAGTAGCGTCAATTAAATTCATTGAAGTGCCATTTCCCCATTTTGTCCGGAATCTTGACATGGCACTTTGACAAGTTTGATAGGAGTTAACGGGTGTTTGACAAAGTTACAACGGCCTTAACAGGGTGTTGACCAGTATTCGCAGCAATACGCGTTCATCGAGGATTAGGTAAGCTGACAATGTTCACATACCGCTGGACGTCCATGCACCCGTGAAGGTATGCCCCCCCAAGTATATTAGGGACCTGAATCTAGCAACGTTTTTATGGCGATGAACCTGCCGTTTCAGGCATTGTACTGGTCATTGGCCGCCTACACACCAAACTGCGTCTTTTGCCAACCTGATAAGCGAGTCTGAACACTTTTAAGAGAGGCTTTTAGTTGACGCGCCAAAGGGTGGGCTATCCTCTTTCCGCGGCAGAGGTGTTTCTGTCCGTTTCTAGGGAGCGGGCCAGTATAAGAAGAAGAAACCCGCAAGCAATGTCTTCGAAACCACGCAAAACTGGCTTCGAAGCAGGACTCTAAGGTCGACATTCCGAAGATGAAACAGTAAAAGGTCACAAAAAAGCGCCTACAGACAGTTGGTGACTAGACATAAGCAAAACTGTAATGAAAGCAGAAAGATAATGTGTCATCGGCACCATCTGCAGCGGTTATGTCATTAGAAGACGGGGTCGTGCTAGAAGTGAAATATTTTGGAGTCCCCACCCCCACCTACGAGGTGCATGACTACATAAATGGAGCAGTGATGACGGCAATATGTCAGAAGTAAAGACCACAACTCGCTGCGCTCAGCTACAACATGCGAAAGCACATTTTCTGGCTAGGAAGAGGTACGTAATTTTCTTAACGCTCTTTTCATTGATTCACATTTTAAGTGAAACAGTCGAATGTCTCTATTCTGTTTCAGTTGCTGTCGTCGCATTTACATTGAGCATGGCTGGAGTGCACGCCTCTGAGGGAATCCCGAGCAGCAGGAGTAATGGAAACGCTGCGCGGCCTTCACCCCCGATAACAGCTGCACAGGGGGCATCTTCCCATTTGATTTCAGAAACAGCGCCAGCATCAAATTCGGCCGATAGAGTCGATCCTACCGGGGGTTTACTGCCACCTCGGTAGCACCAACACAAGACGACATCCCCTTCCCTTGCTTCAGACGTGTCCGTCGACTGATACTGCGACTTCTATGACGCCTTCAGAGTCATCCCACGGTAGCACCAACACAGGAGGCAACTTTTCCGCTTGTTTCAACAGCAATGTTGCCTTCATCCTCAAATAAAAGTGTCTCTCCTTCGAAGCTCCTATTCCACCATCGGCGAGCAACAGTCACAGCTGCAAGCTCTACGTTAGTCATATTTACAAACGCCGACTTCAGCCGCCAAACGGATACTGGTCCCAGTCCATGACCTCATCCTCACCATCGGCTGCATCGACTCAGAGAACGGCATCCTCTACCTCGGGTGAGGCAACATCGCCGACTTCAGCGCAGAACGATACTGTCCCCTCCATGACCTCATCCTCACCATCGGCTGAATCGACTCAGAGAACGGCATCCTCTACCTCGGGGTGAGGCAACATCGCCGACTTCAGCGCAGAACGATACTGTCCCCTCCATGACCTCATCCTCAACCATCGGCTGCCCCAAATCCGGAAATCGACTCAGAGAACGGCATCCTCTACCTCGGGTGAGGCAACAACGCCGACTTCAGCGCAGAACGATACTGTCCCCTCCATGACCTCATCCTCACCATCGGCTGAATCGACTCAGAGAACGGCATCCTCTACCTCGGGTGAGGCAACAACGCCGACTTCAGCGCAGAACGATACTGTCCTCCCATGACCTCATCCTCACCATCGGCTGCATCGACTCAGAGAACGGCATCCTCTACCTCGGGTGAGGCAACAACGCCGACTTCAGCGCAGAACGATACTGTCCTCTCCATGACCTCATCCTCACCATCGGCTGAATCGACTCAGAGAACGGCATCCTCTACCTCGGGTGAGGCAACATCGCCGACTTCAGCGCAGAACGATACTGTCCCCTCCATGACTCATCCTCACCATCGGCTGCATCGACTCAGAGAACGGCATCCTCTACCTCGGGTGAGGCAACATCGCCGACTTCAGCGCAGAACGATACTGTCCCCTCCATGACCTCATCCTCACCATCGGCTGAATCGACTCAGAGAACGGCATCCTCTACCTCGGGTGAGGCAACATCGCCGACTTCAGCGCAGACGATACTGTTTCCCTCCAATTAGACCTCATCCTCGAAGCATCGGCCTCAATCGACTCAGAGAACGGATCTTCTACCGTCCGGTGAGCAAACATACGGCGACTTCAGGCGCACGAACGATACTTGCCCCTCCCAGACTCATCCTCACCATCGGTGAATCGACTCAGAGAACGATTGTCTACCATGGTTGAGACCAACATCGCCGAACTTCCAGCGCAGAACGAATACTGTCCCCCTCCCATAGACTCAATCATCCTCAATCGGTGATCGACTCAGAGACGGCATCCTCCTACCCAGGGATGGGCAACAAACGCCGACTTCAGCGCAGTAACGGATAACGTCCCCTCATGACCTCATCCCACCATGTTGAATTCGACTCAGAAACGGCATCCTCTACCTATCGTTGAGGGCAACATCGCCGATATCAGGCAGAACGATACTGTCCGCATCCACAGACCTCATCCTCACCATCGGCTGCATCGACTCAGAGAACGGCATCCTCTACCTCGGGTGAGGCAACATCGCCGACTTCAGCGCAGAACGATACTGTCCCCTCCATGACCTCATCCTCACCATCGGTTGAATCGACTCAGAGAACGGCATCCTCTACCTCGGGTGAGGCAACATCGCCGACTTCAGCGCAGAACGATACTGTCCCCTCCATGACCTCATCCTCACCATCGGCTGAATCGACTCAGAGAACGGCATCCTCTACCTCGGGTGAGGCAACATCGCCGACTTCAGCGCAGAACGATACTGTCCCCTCCATGACCTCATCCTCACCATCGGCTGAATCGACTCAGAGAACGGCATCCTCTACCTCGGGTGAGGCAACAACATCGCCGACTTCAGCGCAGAACGATACTGTCCCCTCCATGACCTCATCCTCACCATCGGTTGAATCGACTCAGAGAACGGCATCCTCTACCTCGGGTGAGGCAACATCGCCGACTTCAGCGCAGAACGATACTGTCCCCTCCATGACCTCATCCTCACCATCGGCTGAATCGACTCAGAGAACGGCATCCTCTACCTCGGGTGAGGCAACATCGCCGACTTCAGCGCAGAACGAGTACCTGTCCTCATGACCTCATCCTCACCATCGGGCTGCATCGTCTCAGAGACGGCATCCTTCTACCTGGCGGTGACGGCCAACCTATCTGCCGACTCAGCGCCAGAACGATACTGTTTCCGGTCCATGACCTCATCCTCACCATACGGCCTGATCGACTCGAGAACGAACGGCATCCTCTTCCTCGGGTGAGGCAACATCGCCGACTTTCAGCGCAGAACGATACTGTCCCCTCCATGACCTCATCCTCACCATCGGCTGAATCGACTCAGAGAACGGCATCCTCTACCTCGGGTGAGGCAACATCGCCGACTTCAGCGCAGAACGATACTGTCCCCTCCATGACCTCATCCTCACCATCGGCTGAATCGACTCAGAGAACGGCATCCTCTACCTCGGGTGAGGCAACATCGCCGACTTCAGCGCAGAACGATACTGTCCCCTCCATGACCTCATCCTCACCATCGGCTGAATCGACTCAGAGAACGGCATCCTCTACCTCGGGTGAGGCAACATCGCCGACTTCAGCGCAGAACGATACTGTTCCCTCCATGACCTCATCCTCACCATCGGCTGAATCGACTCAGAGAACGGCATCCTCTACCTCGGGTGAGGCAACATCGCCGACTTCAGCGCAGAACGATACTGTCCCCTCCATGACCTCATCCTCACCATCGGTTTGAATCGACTCAGAGAACGGCATCCTCTTCCTCGGGTGAGGCAACATCGCCGACTTCAGCGCAGAACGATACTGTCCCCTCCATGACCTCATCCTCACCATCGGCTGCATCGACTCAGAGAACGGCATCCTCTACCTCGTGGTGAGGCAACATCGCCGACTTCAGCGCAGAACGATACTGTCCCCTCCATGACCTCCTTCATCCTCACCATCGGCAGCATCCTCTCCGCTGGCTTCTACCGCGACAGAGTCTGATGCTTCATCCCGTATACCGACGTCAAACCGTACGCACGCATAAGAAGGCTATAACCTCTAAGTAACTCCCACTCACAAAGTCGCCTGCAGCCGACCAGCATAGGACTGTATCTCTACACCGGTTCAGCAGCGTACTATTACCAAACTCATTAGGATTGTCAACCGTCAGCTTCAACAAGGCGTTCATCCGAGCGAACTTCTTCCACAAGTTTCGGTAAGTCCTCATGGTCCCTCCGATAAAATTGTTCCATATACTGGCATTTTGCAGGTGATACTTCGACGAATTCTCGTCCATCCGAGAAGTCTGCACTGGCGATCGTTTTCTCACTCCTAACTCTACTCGTTTCCACGGCAATCATTCCTTAGTTTTTATATAGGTAGTTAACAACTTATTATGGTAGAAAGGATAGTGAACCATAGGCACTTTTCTTGATGACTACAATTTTGTCTTTCCGTGAACCTTTCAGAAGTGGATGCTACATCGATTTTAGTTTCTGTGATTATTATACGGTTGTCACATCACTGTAAAAAGTTTTTTCTCTACTTTCTAACTAATAAAAGAATTCAATAAAGACAGTGATCTGAACTAGTTTCGTTGTTGTAACTCCACATTTTTTCATAAATGAAGATACTTGCAAAATAAACGCAAGTACTGACTTTTGTATGGCCACAGAGAATCATCTACGCTCCCCACAAACTGATCTCACCTCGGGGGGTACTACCATCACGTAGGTCGATCGATTGTCATCCAATAAGAGCTTCATAGTGATTTATGCTTTCACAAACACCTTTCAAAGTGCAGAGAGAAGCTGATCAATTACTTTTTGGGACACTGTCCAGCAACCGCAACCCCTAAATCTTAAAAAAAGCCGAGAGGGTAACAGTGGCTCCCGCTGCGTAATGGACACGCACTCGCCAGCTCAGTGGGAGATGAGGGTTCAAGTTCCGCCTAGACCCGTCCTTTTTCTCATAATTCAACATCTTTGTGATAATTCTGCATGAATTAGACCATAGGGCTATTGGGCGTACTGGTCACGAATGTGACGACATTTATCTTTGAGCACCAGCGTCATCTGATTCCACCGCCTTTTGCACCACACGTATTTTCGGCGCTCATTCCCGCAATATTGGTGCCAGGACTGGCGCTAATACTTGAGAACATGGACTAAACAAGGCCTACTCTTACGGTATGTACTATGTTGAGCTTGAGGAAAGGAACTCACTCCTCTTCCCCCCCCCCCCGCCTTAGCGGATGCCAAAAAGCACGCCAAAAATGAGTCATATCCGTCATTCAGGATGCCAAATATCCGAAGTATGCTAGTTTATGACCGACATTGGTGAGGAGGCCGGGTGGGGGTGGAAAGTTGTTGCGCTAAAGTTGTTGAGTCAAATGGCGCCAGTGCCGGAAAAAATGCCATGCTAGTCATCAGAGCACTGAAAAGGAGTAGTGATTCAACGGGAACGTTTTCTTCAAACGCCCCGTTTTCTGCCCCTTCGTTTTAGTTTCCATTTTTTTTAGTATAGGTCAGGATTGGCCAAAGGATTAACCTTGAAACTCAGTAGGTAAAGGAAGTTTTCTTATTCACCGCAAATGAAGATTGAACCGATGAATCAGAGAAATGGTATGTCTCTATGTTTCTCTAGAATGCTTTGCTTGGCGCCTCTCTTCGTTGACATCTTTAGATGACGATGGAAACGATAGACACGTGAACGACAAGGGACCTCTCGAGAACATGGCACCCACCGCGACAAAACCACCGACCGACTGGTCACATCCACAAGGCTAGTCACACAAATGCACGAAGCTCATCTCCGCTGTGGCGACCCTTCGGAAGTTCCTCCCCGCCGCCACGTGTATTCATCGCGTAATTTACTGTTCCATTTATGGTTCCAAATAAATAAAAAAAAGTGCAGTTCGGCCGGGTGGGGGCAAGCTATTACACAGAGTAAGGCTCGTACAGATCACCACGTAAAAACCTGTGAATTCATGTTACCAAATTGGCTCTATTGAGCCATTTCGCAACTTCACAAGAGTTCACAGGTCACACCGTCGTCAAACGAGACCTCCTAAATGGTTGAGCTATCAAAAGGATTCAGCGAAAGAGCAAAATGCCCCTCTCAAGACGAACAATGTCGGAGAAAGCATGAGCGAGTTGCGATTTCCAATACGTTTTCTAAGTTCGTTGGGTGACTCCGGCTTTCAATTGAAGATACATTCCGCGATTGCAAGTGTTGGTCACAGGGCTCAAATAAGAATTTGTGAGCGTTATTTGATCTATCAATAAAGACGGCAAATGAGGCTCGTTCAAAGCGTCGGCCCGTTGATCTCAAACATTGGACAAGAATGTTGTCAGTGGAGACGCAGAGACACTCGGCGAGAGACCACTCATCGAGAAACCACACATGAGCAGAAACAGCGATAGCAGATAGCTGTAAATTATGGATGGACCGATAATTACAGTAGCGAGAGGACTAAGGAAAGGGTGGAACACACGCCCCTAAAAGCTCATGTCCATAGTGTTAGTCCCAATACGGTGCGCCGTGTGGTGCGCAGTTACGAGTGGTTTAGTAAACGGGCCCTTAATATCATCAATTTTGGACACTTTCCCGAGTTCGCCAATGCACCTTCATAACACTCTTAGTCATACTCCAACACATTACCGCGTAACAGCAGATGGAGGAAAACAGCAGATGTTCGGAGCGGATAAAAGAGGGTTTTTATTATTAAAAATTTTTATTACCTTATATCTCCTCCTTCATATACATCTCATAAACTATTTACAAATACAATTACTTCCCCTCTTTCGGCAACACGTTATCGACTAACTCAATAACGTGCTTGTCGCCATGAGGGGGCGTCCCAATGAGATTCTTGACATCATCGTAATTGAGAACTTCCCGTTTCAATAGTTCCTGCGCAATCTGAAATTAATTAGAGGCTCATTTTTGAGAAATTGAATGAAACATTTTTCCACAGCAATTCTCCTACCTTCTCTAGCTTGTCTGCATTCTTTCGCAAGAGTTCTTCCGTCCTGCGGTAAGCCACTCCAACCAAACTCGACGCTTCCTGAACACCACATTTGGCATAATCCACACCTAGCGGCCCTATTTTTTGGTGTTCAAATCAGAAACGTTCGCAGTTTCCGAGAAGAGTTAGCAGAATGAGCTCTTTCAATTAACATGAACTAGTAGAGGGACCTAGCGAAAGTGCAAAATGTCCCTCCCAAGCCAGATAGGGTCCAAAGACATGTGAGAATCCTTACCTGATCCATGACATGTCCAAACTTCTTACTAAACGGTTTGATTTGGAAATCGTCATCATCTGGGAAGGATAACGTGCCGACTACGTTATTCATACCATACACCTTCACTTGCGCATAGGCCGACTTTGTCACCTAAATAGTTCCCCATATAGGTCTCTCATTTGGGTGATAAATATCTTTGAGCCCACCTTCTTGAGGTCATCTTCAGCTCCTGTAGTTATCCGGCCGAATTTGATGTTTTCAGCTGCCCTACCACCCAGCATCATGCACATTCGATCAAACAGCTGAAAGGCAACTGTAGCATAAGTTCCGATAAGCACCTGTAGGTTTCAGGATACCTCCTCCTTGGTGAACAGTTTCTTCTCCTTGGGACTATACTGTGCGAAGCCGAGAGCAGCAGAAGTACGAGGAATAATGGTCACCTAAAATAATATTCAACGTACGTAAGTCGAATCCAAATAGTGTAGGGCGGCGACGCGCGCAAGCTGAAAGGGTACTTTCCTTGAGTCGACATACCGCCGACCTTCCATGCCAATTCAGTGGGTCCCGGTGCGAATGCCGCGCACGTGACACCACGCACAGCGCCGCGTCAACTCAGATAAGAAAAGGAAAGGGCAGGTTCTCATAGGGTTCAACTCACCTTCAGAAGAGCATCTGTGTGTTCCAGTAACCAGCCCACTAGCGCATGACCAGCCTCATGATAGGCAACCACCTCACGCTCTTCCTCAACAAGCGATCGAGACCGTTTCTCTGCTCCTGAAAATTAGGCAAAAGATGTTAGACTCATCCTTCTATTCATCCCCAAGAACCTCTTTTCATGGTTGAAATTTGGAGAAACTTGGTGCCCTGTAATAATCAAGACAGTGATGTTTACACCTAGCGCCAGCGCCCACATTTCCTACCGCATGCGTCACAGACTTACATCATGGAAGGCTCTTAATCCTAATGGAATGCCCTATCAATGAGCAGCACCCTTTATCATGCCGAAATGGAAGTTAATGTAGTTTTGACCACTGCGAATGCAGGGGAAGTCACGCGACCTGAGTTTGGCGCGGCGCCAAACCCATTCCCACTAACTGTTGAAGAGGGCAAGTGACGATAATGAACACTCGGTGCCGCGCCAAACCTAGTCCCTAACACCCCAGCATGTGCAGCGAACAAGGCTGAAGCATCCTTGGTAAGAGACCCTGACACCAAACTTAGGTTAAATAGCGCTAAAGGGTCCCTGCGCTCAAAATGAGTGCCATATTTGCGAAGCATTGAACGACTCGCCGATGAACAGCAACTTCAAAACTCCTAGGATTTGGTGTTAGAGATATCGATGAGCTATCGAATACTCCCCAATGGCTCCCACACGCCTCGACACAGTTCTTCAACCGCAGGAAAGATCCATGCCGATGGATGGGACAAACATAAAGTATGGCAAAAAGAAAAACCTCGAATTTTTATCAAATGGGCAAACCTCCAAGTGAACAGCGACAATAATAAGTGCATAGATGATGTTGCGAAACGTTAGGGGTTATGCAAGTTAATAGAAAGAGTGTTAAACATCAGGCGACAGAAAATTCTGACTGGGTAACGAATAAGAAAGAGAAGTGTTGGTAGTTGACTTGCCGCGAAATAGAAAGCAAAGGAAACCGAAGAACGCGCTCCAAAGTAAGGCTCTCCGTGAGCCAAGCGAGACTAAGAATTACCGTGAATTTCAAAAGAGAGGCTAGACAAGAGCAGTGAGAAAGCATGCAAAGGAGCTAGACAACAGAGAAACCAAAAAAACGCTTGCGGAGTAATTTGAGCAACCTGCACATCGCCGCGACTTTACAAACTCCTGACGCGGAACTTTGAAATTGTTCGTTGGGACCCACAATAACTTTTCCGAGAACGAGCTTAGATTTCTAGTGATCGTGCAGTTTTGAGTCCCAATGATTTTACCTGCTAAAATTCGATCCAACGCATACTCCAACTCGTTCACTGACACAATATGCTTTCCAGTTGATGCAGCTCGAATAGCAGCTTCATTAACCACATTGGAAATATCAGCACCTATGAATCAGTGGAATTCATTACACGTCAGGAAGTCGTCACATTGAACACTGGCGGAATACCTGTGAAACCCGGGGTCATTTGTGAAAGACGTTGAGAATACTTGCTATAGGGATGGTCGAGCTTGATTTTCTTGAGGTAGAGATCGAACATCTCCTTCCGTTCACTCACAGTTGGCAGGTCAATGTTGATATGACGATCAAATCGACCAGGACGCAATAAAGCCTTCAACAATTCGAAACGACGAATATGCGAGGTTAATCACAAAATGACATTCCCTTCGAGGCATATAAGAATGACTTTCGGCAATATGGCGAGGTAGAGAGACGTTCGTACTCTGCGTCAGCGTTTTGGACGGACAGCAACATTATGAGCCCTTCAAGCGTGCCGCAGCGCTCTGAGCGACTGAGGAAGTATAGACATCAATCTAGAAATTTGAGCGCACGCCAGCGTTTCGCGAGTAATTTTGAATTTCACGCGGGGTGCCGGTGAAAACCTTGGCGTGCGCTCAAAACGCTAGATAGATATCCAAACTTTCAGAGTCGCTCGAATTCAAAAGCGCTCAAAACAGTGACGCAAAGTATGAAACCAGCCAAGGACGCATTTCCTGCACAACGCTGGAGAACGACGTCAGCGACTCACTTTGTCAAGGATATCTGGGCGATTGGTGCTACCTAGCACCACTATACCCTGTCCGCTGCCCATACCATCCATTTCAACCAACAGCTGATTCAGAGTCTGCTCCTCTTCGTTAGATCCACCTGAACCAGGGCAAATTTAACACAATTGGTAAAATTACCAGCCTAATCACCAATGCATGGGGAGCGCTTTTCTTGAGGGATTTAAATTTTAAGAACATACCTCCAAATCCTCCTTTCGATTCACTCCTCTTCTTCCCGATAGCGTCGATCTCATCAATATAAATTATACATGGGGCTCTCGACCGGGCCTCCTTGAATAGCCCACGGATGCGAGATGCACCAAGGCCTAAAAATCGAGAGGGTTAAGGGTTTTCTTAGAAACAAACGAATTATAAGACTTGCGATCCACTGTTCTAGGAAATGAAACTAGGTGCTAAAGTATCTGGGCGAGTAGGGGGGGGGGAACGCGCGTAAGACCGCACTTCTGCTCCCTCTTCACCGAGATGGTGTTCCGCGTGCTTGGTTGGAACGTTCACTTCAGGTAACATGTGATTTCGAGTGCAGAGCACGGATTTGCCATCGTCGTAGGGCGTTATACCAATGAAGAGAGGCAGTCAACGCTGAAAAGTGCGAAGAAGCAATGTTTACGGGCGAGGAATTTTGCCCAGGCCTAGGAGGGAACGAATTTCGAGGTGACTGAACCCATTCAGTCATACAAAGGGATACTTTAAAAACTACCCTAGATGTTCCGCAGAACCCAGAAGTGTGCCTCCGTCGCGTGCCCCTCTCCACCAACATTAGGGGCCCCGAAAAGGAATTGACCATGTGATGGATGATGGCAACAAATTAAAAATCCAGGCATATTACCAGTACCATGCAAAGCGAATGCAAGTAGTAAGTGAGAAAGCCAACCTTTCTTACCTCCGATAACCTCAACGAATTCCGACCCATTCATGGAGATGAAAGGTGCTGTTGATTCGGCCGCCAGTGCTTTTGCAATGAGAGTCTTTCCGCAACCTGGTGGACCAGTCAGAAGCGCGCCACGCGGCAACTTTGCACCCAGTTTCTGCAAGAATGAAGCAGGCACATTTTTCAGTCGAAAGGTAGGGACATCTCCCAAAAGAAAATATAGAAGCTATATCAACAAGGAGGGGCATTTCGGGCATAAAACCGACACATTAAAATAGAAACCACACTTTCGAACCCCTTCAAACTTTTTTCACAAATAACTTGGTTCACTTAACTCGTAGCAACTTCGCACCCCCACAC